GGTACCCCCCAAAGCTGCTCTGTCGCTGCCTCTGCAAGTGGACAAAGGAGAAAACATCACAAAGGGTCGGGGGTCGGGATCAGGAGTGGGAGAGATCCCTCCCTCCCATGGATCCTCCCAGGTGGATCCATGATCCATCCTGGCTCTCCCTGGGCTGATGGGACTCAGCTGCCTCTCCCTGGGCTTCCCCATGGAATCTCAGGGGAATCCCAGCTCTGGCCCCTGGAGCAGCTCCGGCCTCTGGAGCAGCTCCTGCCCTGCCCTGGGCTCTGCAGAGCTGTTCCTCTCACACATTCCCGTTCCTCTCCTCTCTGCACTCGATTCCATCTGCACAAGAACCTTTTCCTCCTTAGCTGTGTTATCCCAGAGGGGTTCCCACCATCCCTGCTGGGCTCAGCCTTGGCCAGCAGCGGGTCCGTCCTGGAGCAGCTGGAATTGGGGGAATGGGGGAAGCTTCTGGCAGCTTCTCACAACCCACCCCCTAAACCCCCTCTGCCAAACCCTGGGACACCAACCCAGCGTGAGGGGATTGTGGTGACATCCCCACTCTGCTTTGTGTCCCCCCAGGACAAGTGGACGTGGGGTCCTGATGGACACGGGGCCATCCTGCTGGTCAACTGTGACCGCGACGATCCCAAGGCCGAGACCCCGGATAACCGGGACACGGAAATCCGCTCCTACGACGGTGCCCCCGCGCCCCAAAGAACCCCCCGTTCTCCTGTTTTTCCTCCCAATTTTCCTTCCTAACACCCTTTCCCCCCCCAGACCTGAAGGACATGTCTCAGATGGTGCTGAGGACACGAGGGCCCCGCACCATCTTTGCCACCCACCGGCTGCTCCTGCACGTGGATTTCAGCGACGCCGACAAAGTCGGAGTTTTCTATGGCGGCAGTGAGTGCCCAGCACGGGACTGGGGGCACAGACCCCCCGAATTACTGGGGTCCAGGCCAAACCCTTGCAACAGAACAAGCCTCACTCCTGCAACACCCCCCTGTGTCCCCCGGGGGGAGGTTTATTCAATGCACAGGGGGATTTTTTCCACCACGGGGTTAAATAGGAGGTTTTGGAAGGTTTTGGGCAAAAAAAGGGTTGAAAGGCTGCAGGAAAGGGGGTGACTATTTGGGGGGCTTGTACCCACAGACAGTGTGGAGCTGGAGGAGTACAAGCACGTGCTGGGGCGCTCCAAACTCTCCTACACCGTCAAACCCAGCCGGCACCAGGAGGAAAGTGTCTTCTACGTGGAGGGACTCGCCTTCCCTGACACCAACTTCTCCGGCCGGGTGGCTTTCCATGTCACGCTGCTGGAGAGCCCTGAGAAGGTACCGCCTGTGGGGGGTTGGGAGGAGCCGGAGCAGGGGGAGCAGAGCCCGGACGGTGTGTCCCCCCTCCCAGGATCTGCTGGAGACCCCCATCTTCACCGACACCGTGGTTTTCCGCGTGGCCCCGTGGATCATGACCCCCAACACTCTGGCGCCGCTGGAGGTCTTTGTCTGCAGGTGGGTGTTGGGTGGGTGGCTGAGCCCTGTCTGGTGCCAGATCAGCTCCCACATCCCGTTTTTCCTCCCAGCACGGGTGACAACGAGGGTTTTGTGGAGGCCGTGAGGGCCGTGGCTGAGAAGGCCCAGTGCCCGCTCACCGTGTGCCCGCTGGTCGAGAACCGCCAGGACCGCTGGATCCAGGTGGGTGTGGGGGGTGCTCACCCCACCCTCCACAGAGCAGCTCCGGGAGGGCTCTCCTCCACCTTCTCCATCCCTTCTCCAGGACGAGGTCGAGTTTGGCTACGTTCAAGCCCCCCACAAGACCTTCCCTGTTGTCTTTGACTCTCCCCGGGACAGGGAGCTGAAGGATTTCCCCATCAAGAGGATCCTGGTACCCAGCCCCTTCCTCCTCCCTTCCCAGCAAGGCAAAAAGCTTTGCAAACCCATAAAAAGGAGGATAAATCTATTTATTTCTTACATTTTTGGGCTGGGAAGAGCCAGCCCGGGGTGATTTGGGAGCGCTGCACTTCAGGTGCTCACAGCTTCATTTCTTCAGTTGTCACAGAAACTGCTGAGCTGGGAGGGAACCACAAGGCTCGAGCCCAATGGTTCTGATCTCCTCCCTTTTCCCCTTCCAGGGCCCTGATTTTGGCTACGTGGCCCGACAAGCTCCCGAGGGAACTACCAGCCTCGATTCCTTTGGGAATTTGGAGGTGAGCCCCCCTGTGAAGGTGCGGGGCAAGGAGTACCCCCTGGGCCGCATCCTGGTCGGGAGCAGCTTCCCCAGGTGAGACACGGGACGGAGAAAAACCCCCCAAAACGGGGCTTTCTGCCCGGTTTGAGGTTGGTTGCGGGCAGAGCATCCCCTTGGGCACCCCAGACCGTGAGTGCCCCCTCCCCTCCAGGTACGGCGGCCGGCGCATGGCGAGGGCCGTCAAGGATTTCCTCGTCGCCCAGAAGGTGCAGGCGCCCGTGGAGCTGTACTCAGACTGGCTCGTTGTCGGCCACGTGGATGAGTTCCTCAGCTTTGTCCCCGCTCCTGACAGGAAGGTAGTGGATCCCAGGGGGGGAAAAGTGTGGTGGAACCTTTATAACCCCCCCAAAAAACCCCTCCCGTCTCCCTCCGCAGGGATTCCGGCTGCTCCTGGCCAGTCCCAGCGCCTGCTACCAGCTCCTCAAGAAGAAGCAAGAGGAGGGATATGGAGAGGCTGTGATGTTCCAGGGTAAGAGGAGGGTGGAAAACGGGGGTTTATGGGCTTGTTTTCCCTTTTTCCTGCAAAATTTGATGGGGGGAAGGATGTGCCCTGAAAGCAGGGGCAGAATTGAGTGGAGTTAATGAAAAGCTGCACGGATTTGATTTCCTGGGTGGGGCTGGAGATGCCGGTGGCCCTGAAATGGGGGAGCTCCTGGATCAGCCGGCACTTCCATCCCAAATGTTCTGAGGAGGAATTCCTGCCTGGCTCTCTGTGCTGCAGGGCTGGAGGAGGTGCCCAAGCTGACGATAAACGAGATTCTGGCTGACGAAGGGCTCCGGAAATTCAATTCTTACGCCCAGGTGAGGAAGAGGAGCAGGGGGGTCCTTTCCACCCCTCCCTCCATGTCCTTCTGTCCTTCCATCCCTCTCTCCATCCCTCCACCCATCCCTTCCTCCATTGTCCACCCACCTCTCCATCCATCTCTCCATCACTGTCTCTCCATCCATCCATCCACCCATCCCTCCCTCTGTCCCTCCATCTGCCCACCCATCCCTGTGTCCACCCCTCTATTCCTTTATCCATCCACCCACCCATCCCTGTGTCCACCCCTCTATTCCTTTATCCATCCACGCACCCATCCCTCCTTCCATCCCTCTGTTCACCTCTCCATCCCTCCATCCACCCTTCCCTTCCTTCCACTGTCTGCCCATCCCAACACCCATCCCTTTGTCCCTCCATCTCTCCATCCCTTTCCCTGTCTTTATCCCTTGATGTCTCCATGCTCTTATCCCTCCACCTCTCCATCCCTTTGTTCATCTTTCCCTCCCTTTGTACCTTGATCTCTCCACCCTTTTGTCCATCTCGTTGTTCCTCCATCTCCCCCTCCCTGGTCTCTCTGTCTCCTCATCCCTCTATCTCTCCATGCCCTCCTATCTCCATCTCTCCATCCTTTTGTCCATCTTTGTCCCTCCATCCCTGTTTCCCTCCCTTTGTCCTTCCATCTCCCCATCCCTTTGTCTCTCCTTCCCTTTGTCCCTCCATCCACCCACCCATTCCGCTCCTCCCTCATCCCTCAGCGCTGCATCAGCTGGAACAGGGATGTGCTGAAG